TGGCGCAGGGAGCGGGCTTTAATTAAATAACTGCGCTAAGTGGAGCCAAAGAGTTGGCGTCGCTAATACAGACATTAGCTAAATTCGCCGAGAGCCCATAAATTTCACGCTCCAACTCAGGAATCACAAAATAATTCCCGAGCTCTGAACTCTGAACTCTGTACTCTGTGCCCTAGAATTAATTCCGGCTTTTCCAATGCGCGGCAAGGCGATACTTCAGACACATAAATGGCTGTTGGCGGTAATTAATGAACTCTGGATTGTTGTCCTGCCTCGGTTTTCATATGCAAGCCATATGTTTTACGCTAGAGGTTGCCCACACACATTTTCGGCTGGAACATGGGCTTTAAATAAGCCAACAGTTTATGCATCATAATAGAATATGTGGAGGCATTCCATTTATTATCCAGCAACGTCGCAGTTCACTGAAGTTAAATCTGTAAAAAAGTGCCTTTCCTGACAAGTACTACTATTTCCTTGCAGCATATACAAAATTGGCTATATTCATTTCGAGTTTCAGTAACAGCATCCAAGGCTTAATTACATTATGGCTGAAATGCGCCTGCTATTGGATCCTCTTTTGCTCGTTTTGATAGTAAACACCCCGCCTAATTCGAATATTTACTGAGACACTAAATTGGGTGGCGGACATGGGTCCTTTAATGGGCACAAGTCAGTAATGCTCGCCCGGCATCACTTTTAGGCCTAACTCAACTTTCCGCGTTGCATGTTGTCAAGTAATTGCTTATTCATGTGTGCAAATTATGAGCAATAACAATGCGAGAGAAACAATCGCCAATCAGGAGACGCGGCGGCGAAGTGCTGGGAAAGTCCGAGGGAAGCGCTTTAAAGCAATCGAAGTCAGTCGAGTGCTAAATGGGCGCGCCCTGCCACGCCTCACCGCCCACCGCCCACTGCCCCGCCCCACAATCTCCATTTAAGCCGTGTAATTGCTGTGTGCGAGAGCTGAATACCGCAAAAAGCCGAGGCGCCCACTGTCGGCCAAGTGAGCGATACGGCGCGTCGCCATTTGGCTTAAACAAAAAATGAAACATAAGGTGGTGGTGTGTGAAGCAAGGATTGGTATGCGACACTGCCATTCACTGTCGTCGGAGTCATTAGGTTCCACCAATGTAAAGTGTGCAGGCTTGTGTTAAATATCGTATATTAGTAATTGTTCAGGGAAAACCAAGAGTATTGAACTTACAGACAGGCACACCGGATAAGAAACAGACTTCTTCTACGTACTCATCGCCGTGGACCATCCATCAGAACCTTCACCCTCGTCAGAAATCAGCTGTTATCGAGACAACACGGCTAAGATGGCGAGATGGCGAGATGCCAAGATCACGGCAGACCCAAGATGGCCAGTCGCAGTTAAAGGGTAACCACAACAAAACGTGCCACCAGTGATAAAATGTGCGACGGCTGCTGATGTAGGTCGGATCCAGACGCATTGTGCCGGATTGGAGACGGCGTTGGGTGTGGCACGGGTAAGGGATGTGGGATGTGGGCTGTGGGATGTGGGATACGCAGGACCTGGAATTTATGATTCCATTTTTACTTCTCTGCTCGTTCTGGCAAACAGCCGCCGACCATGTGAAGAGTTTCCTTGGGAATGCGGGGAAACTCTGTGTGGGGAATGCAAATGGTTGTGGCATGTGAGTTTCTCTCGCAACAATGAGAAATGCTCCCAGTGGCCGGAGCCCCTGGCAGAACCCCTCCAGCTGCGCCCATGCTAACTGTCCACATACACATGCATTCAGATAGAAGGTTTTAAATGATCACTTGGTCCATGGAATTTTAGGCCGCATATATGAACGTAAAGTCGACTTGAATAAGGCGCATGTGAAGCACTTCATTCTCCGGCATTGTCAAGCACGTTGCAACATGGCATGTCAACTTATTTTGAATGAATTTCCGTAGCACACTCGCCCCTTTTTCTCGCTCTGTACCTTTCAGTGCGTGCGTGTGACATCCATTTGAATAGTTCGATTATGCGTGTTTTGAGCGCCTGGAGGACATAAGGGGATTGGGAGTTGCTAATATTTGCTGAATGCTGCGAACCAATAAATGACAAGTTATGCCCTCTAATTAATGCGCCTCGACATGCGACACGCGTGTGCTGCTTCTGGCCGAGTGATTCTGGCCTGTCCTAATGGGCGTCTCTTCTGGGTCTTGACCCAACCCGATCCTCCCGCACCTCCCAAGCCAGCAGCTCTCGGCCTAATTTTTGCACATAAATACCAATGGGCCACACCCCGCAGGCGCCTTCGCCAGGAAGCCGGAGGAGGAACCTGGTGCGGAGCCAGTTTTTGTGGCCACATCATGGCCGGCCCGGCGTTTCATTTTTCAACTGTCATACTACCACAAAGCCAGTGACACTTTCGATTCCCCGGAAGAACATGAAGGTGGTGCAGAAGGGGTCATCTGGAGGCGCTTTGGGCGTGAATACATACATGGAAATTAAGAGGACGTTAGGTCAGGCGGGCGAAAGAAGCGACGGGTTCCCATATTTTTTCAGATTTAATTTTGTGAAAGAAACTGTGACATTTTATCTTTAACGGACACCAGCTCCGGGCAACGAAAGGCACGGATTCCTTACAGTTTATAATAAATCAAGGGCGATTAAAATCTGAGCATAAGGCAAACGAGGTCAAATCAGTGAGGCCCAACATCCAACAGCAACTTGGGTCGACTGACTGTATTTTCTCAAACTTCGACCCAGTCAATCAGAGTAGAAATATGGTTTCAGCATTGAACTGGAATTAATATTTATATGGAGTGTAAAAATGGAGATTTGAACTTTGTTGGCTTAACGCGTATCGAAATCTTGTAAAATGCTTTGCCCACCTTTTCGAATATTTTCTCTTAAATATTTACAATAGCTTGTCATATACTTAATATATTTTTAGCGCCTGTAGGTGGCCGAATATCGTAGGTCTGGTGGCGCCATCTAGGAGGGAGGTTCTGGGTGAAAGTGTGGCATAAGGAAAGGGGCGGCAGTCCTAACATGGGTTACTGTCAACCTTATCTAAAGATTCTCAAATCCAGCCGTCATCGGGTACGGTTCAGCCAGTATCCCAGTTAAAAAGGTGAACATAAAGGGATAAGCGAGTCTATAAGCGAGAATTTTATTTATGGAATTGGAGTGGAGATTGTAGCTGCAGCGGGACGGAGTTTCAGAGGCGTCTAAGTTTTTTTGCGGAGCAATGAAGTCGCCGTAAAGCCGCCGTCTTGAGCCAATTTGCTGCGTCGTTGTCGTTCTTTTGCCTAAATTGGCAGTATAATTTGAGCGCAGAAATTATGAAATGAAATAACCGGAAAAGTGCCGTCGAGACCCAGGAACATTAGGAAAACCCAAGTGTTATTTTTAAAGTCCAACTCATAGGTCTCACTTAGGCGTCAAGGAAAAAGGTCGTGAATCAAAGGAAAAAAGAAATCTACGGAAAATGTTAACAGTGACCTACTAACAGTGAAAAGCCGGAAAAATTAATTTAGTTAAGTGTATAGAGTTATGCGATTGTGAATTTTTTTAGTTACGTAAGAATTACGCGATGTAGAGTTGAGTGAAAATGATTGAGTGGGTTTTGTTAGTTTGAGTGTTTTGGTTGTCTATCTCGGGGGATAATTATTTTTTCTCTTTGATCGATTTTTTTTTTTATTTGTTTAAAAAAAAAAAAGTGTCAAGGAAAGCGTTTTCTTCGAGGATCGCAGTTGAACTAAGTATGGTGAGCGAAAAATTTGATTTTTGTTTATATGACTCTATTTATAAATCATTTATAAATCCATCCACGAATCAAAGTGAAAAAAAGCTAACTTAAGCAAAAGAAAAGAAAGATAAAGAAGAATGCGATAGATAAAAGAAAACAGAACTTTAACCCGAACATTTTAGTGCAGCCGAAGACAAGTTTAAAAATTTGATTATTCTACCTCACCTTATCTGTCTCACCAATACTTGAATATCGTTATAATTTACGGTGTGATATTTTTGCCAAGCAAAAGGCCTGATTCTTAAAAAAAAAAAATGAGTCTTATTCAAATTAATTTCATTTTCTTTTAAATTCACATGCAAAGCTATATAAAAGTTGTTAATATATTTGTTAGGATTTGTTAAAAGATATTTATTTATTATTATAATTATTATTATATTAAGCGAAAAACCTTGGATTATCAATATATTATTGTAGCGTTAAAATAAATTTTATATTATAATTTTCAAAAATCCCTTGACCCACAGTGACATGGACCCTTGAGACTCCTGGACCCAGAAGGGGCCGCCCAAAAAAATGATAAGTGAATTTATTTACAGGGTAGCAGGGCGGCCAAAGGTAGGGAGAGCGAAGTGAATTTTACAGTCTGAAGTCCCCAAGTGAAGACAAAGTGTATCAAAACCCCCTTTTTTGTGTTTCTGTTAACTTTTTGGGTATTCGGCTTATATAGCTGCTACATATATGTAGGTTATCTTTTGAATATTTACTCTCAAATAAATATTCAAAGGAATACTTTGAATCAGACTGGCAATACCCCAAACAGTTATTAATCAAGAAAGCACAGTCATGAGTATCGATAAGAGTTATCGCTAATTGGTTCCGAATCTGATCTAGATCGTTAAACTTGACACCTATTTTGTTTACAAAAATCCGCACTAGTGTGGTCTAAAAATGTTAATATTAAGAAGACCTTTTTATAACACTCATCTCAATATAGTGATTATTACTCGATTATGTAGTTATTATTCGATATTAAGAATCAACTTTAATCGGCTGCACACACTTGCAAGTTTGCACCTAAGCCTAAAGTCCTGGATAATTACTAGAAGTTTAATAAGCGCTATTACAGGTATTATGTGTAAGATTATTTGGTGCAAGTTATTAATTTTATCGTAGGTACGTAAGGCTGGACAATTAAATAGGCTGATTTGGGTTTTAAAGTAAGCACTTTGAAATTTTTCGAAGTGGCTATAAACCGCTGATAAAGAAAGAATGGCAGAACGCAGAATGGCCAATAAACTGAATATTCGCCAGAGGAATGACGCAACGACGCAGTGCCACATGCTTCATTTGAAGCAGACGGATCTCCTCAGTCAACTGCTGCCCAACACCCAAGCTATGCAAAGCCTGCGTTCCCTCTCCATTGGGCGCATATCCCAAGCGGCTCTGGAGGAGATCTTTGCGAACTGCAGTCAGCTGGAGAGCCTACTTCTGTGCGACAGGATGGGCTCAGGTGTCCTTTATGATATACGGAGCATAGGGCTCTGCTGTATGTTGAAGGTGTTGATGCTGCCCCTGAATGTAGGGACGCCACTGGCCATCTGCTCTCTGGCGAACCTCACCCATTTGACCCTTCAGCGCCAGGAACTCAGTCAGGGAACGGACTGGATGCGTACCGTCCGGGCTATCATCCATGCCAAGCGGTTCAATCTGCAAGCACTCAGCTTTGATGGCTCCTGGCTGACCGCTCCTCTGAATCTGTCCCACCTTCAGCTGGCTCAATGCACAGCCCTGACCGACCTGAGATTGAGTAACTGCAATCTGGGAGAGAACAGCCCACTATTGCCCTTGTCCTGCCAAAGGATCAGCTTCCGGCGATGCTCTATGGGCATGCCCCTTGGTTACAAAGGGACCCATCCGCTTTTAAAGAAACTAGAGCTGTTTGACTGCCGGATATTGTCTGAAGTTCCCATTCTACGTCACATCTTGAACGTGAGGAGGCACCAACCCGTCGACGGACCACTCCTGTTCACCTTTAGCCAGTCCACAAGACTACGATATGAGTTCACGAAGTGGTCCCATGAGGATGTGCGTGTCCACAGCGAGTGGCTGCTAGTGAAGGAACTGGAGCCACACCAGGCGGATACATGGCGCCTACAAGTAGGCACGGTTTCCATGAAGTTTGCTCACTCCATAAATGATGTGCCCAGTCTCCAGCTCCCAGAGGAGAGTATCCCGAGTGCCGCTGATGTGGTCAGGATGCTGGGTTCCTTATAAGGAATAATAATTACAAAAATATTTTAAGTTTTTAGCATAAGCCACCTTAAGCTGTGTGTGCATCACTTGAAAAAGATTTAAAAATGTTGACATTTTTTTTAAATATACTTTGTTCTATAATCAACTAAAGAGTGTTTATGAGGTCTTTTATTTAACAATATCGTGTGTAACAAACTGTCTCATTATATTTAAATTATCAAGTTATAAGGGAAGTTACAATGGAATGCAGTACTGCAAATTCATAATGGAATTTTGCAATTTAATTGGGAATTTCTGAGGAAAGCACTTAAAACCCATCCTCTCTACTTATAACACATTTCTTTACTCCCACAATTTAATGAATACAACTCCTACGCAAAATACCTTCAGTCGACAGATGCCCCCATTCACTTCAAGTGGCACACCACATATTCAACATATCAAATCTAAACTCGAAAGGCTTCGCCATGTGAGCCCCATATTTGCATTAGGATCGCCATTTTTCCAGTCGGATGAGTTTTGTTTATCAGCGAGCACATAAATAACGAAAAAGTTGCCAAAAACAAGGAGGAAAGTGAAATTTATGTGTACCGCATGTAATTAATAATAAAAGAAATCGCGCAAACGAATTAAATGGTTCTGTGTGTGTTTAACTTGCTTGTTAGCCCGTCCAGAACGGCGCTTAATTAGCCAAATCCCCGCTCCCCCATTCCCCCAACTCACTAACTTTATGTTTGAGCCAGCTTAATTGGGTCCGAGCAGCAGTGCACCGGCTAATAAGGTTAACCAATCACAGCAGCAATGCTAACCAGCAGGCTTGGGTGTTACCTGGGCGAAGGAAATTGAAACGGACAGGTGGAGTGGAGGACAGGTGATGACGCAAGGCACAGATCGTAGATGGTATTGATGGGCTGTGGATTCCATTGAGATTGGTTCGCTATCTGCCCTTTCCGTTTAAAAATGTCCATGATTTAATTCTTCAATTTATTTTCGTAGGCATAATCTAATCCAATCCTATGGGCCAATCAACAAAACACGAATCTTAGGCTATTCCAATGTTTTGTAACTATCGCTCAAATAGTTAGAGCTTTTAAATTGAACTAATTTCGAAACTTTAAGACTGCCAAGTATGTATCATAATATATGGTAGTTATTATATATGATAATGTATATTTTATTAAATGTACCCTTGTGTCTAGATAGAAACTTAGCACAGCCATATCCAATTTAAATAAAGGAAACTTTTTTAATACTATTTAGTCATTTAATAAGCACGAATATTTTTCTCAGTAATGAGTTTATTGAATTAAAGGTATATAGAGGTGATTTAGAAGTTTAAAAAATATCAAACGGCCGCCATCTGAATTTATAACAAGAAGAGGAGAAATCGTGTTAAACGTTCCGACGTAATCCCCAAAATGTTAAGCCCCGCAACATTTGGTTTTAATTCCTGCAGACTTGCAATGGTTGTTCAGTTTCCAAACGATATAATCCATGCATCATCTCATGGCAGCAGTCCGATTAGACACGACCCCCTGACTGGGTGTGGCCTTTTTCAACTTTGCACTCGAATGAATACGAAATTCACGCGAAATTCCATGACAGAACCCACGACAAAGATAAAGCTGGGGCAGAGCAGCCCCACGCCCAAAGGCGCCCACTTGAATTATCATGTTATAGCTTCTGGGTGGGGCGCTCCATACTCTACATACTATATTGGGGGGTTTAGGCTCTGAGTTCTGAGCTGTGGGCTCTGTGTGTGTTCCGAAGCCGAAGAGTTTGCACCCATTATTGCTCAGCCATTTGAGCACAAATTTTAAATTTATTGCCCAAACAATGCGACAGCAAACAATAACATTAACAAAGTAATAATTCAAGACCCTTTAAATGGTTTCAATTAGGTGCCCAAAGTGTGTGACGAGTGCCGGAAGGCCGAAGGGGTGGAGGAGGTAGTCAGTGCCATGGCAGAAACCCAAAAACCGAAATCAGTTTATGTGGTTTACTGAACAGTTACACTAATTACCGCACAACAAAACTGCGGCTCTCATTTACCGGTGTTGTTCTTGCACTTGTTGTGCTGCTGGTTGTTGTCGGCTGCTGTTTTTATAAACTTTTGTGTGCAAATAGTTTTTAATTACATAGATAGGAGAATGCTGGCAGCAAGAAAAACAATTGAAAACCTAACGAGGAAAAAAGTTTGAAGCTGCTTGACTCATTTGCTGGATTCGTTGCGGAACCCCGATACCCAGTGACGGATTGGCCCCAGTTCTTTTCGGAACTTGGCTCCTTGGAAGTGTTGGTGAATGAAAGGTGTAACCGGCTTTCTATTCAGAAATATGAAATAGTGTTGACTACTGCAATTGAAGTAGTTTCCTTTTATTGAATAATAACATAGTGTTATTATAGTTACGACATAATATAAAAGAACAACATTACAAAGCACAGCTTCAAAAATAAGGAGTAAATCTGAAATGTTGAATGAACAAGTTTCTAAAATACGTTAATTTGCCTGTGATGCCACCATTTTGCCTAATACTATTGAAGTGATTTTGCCTTAAATCTGTGACTCTAATAAGGGAATAAGTTAGTTTAGAATCGCAAACTAATTTTAATAAGCACCACACTCAATAACGAATGCATAAGTCGTATTTGTATGTACCCGTTACTCGTATAGTAAAAGGGTAGTATACAAGATACGTTAAAAAGTCTGTAACAGGCAGAAAAAAGCGTTTCCGACCATTTAAAGAGTATATATTCTTGATCACGATCAATAGCCGAGTCGAGACTATTTGCCACGCCTACTCTAACGCCTACAAGCTGACCACGCCCACAGTTTTGAAAAATGTGTTGCAATTTTTTATTTTTCTATTTGGTTTTCAAATTTCTATCATACTTCCGAACATTTTTTTTCCACGCCTACTCTAACGCCTACAAAGCGCACAGCTTTGAAAAATATGTTAAAATTTTTTAATTTTATTTTTTGTCTTTCCAGTTTTTATCGATATGCTACAAACAAATTTCGCCAAGACTACTCTAACGCACACGCCCACACTTTTACAATTTTTTTTATTTATTTTTGATTGTTTTATTTTTGTTTGCCAATTTCTATCGATATGCCAAAAAATTGATGAACTTTCTCGTTCGCACTCCCTCTAGCTGAGTAACGGGTATCTGATAGTCGAGGAACTCGGCTATAACGTTCTCTCAGTGTTTAAACTAGACTTCTTGGGGCATATACATTTCGGAGAAACATTTAAATATTTCCAAGTGAACGTAGAATAAGCAGAGAGGCATACCCCACTTTAGCTGGGCATAATCGAGTTAAAACTTACGGCGAATCTTATACATGCAATGGGCCACGTCCGCAACTTTGCAGAAAATTATGTTACTTAAAGCCAACTGCAGCGGCTACTTAGGCGGAGCAACTGCCTGCAGCTGTGCAGCTCGCGAGTGGAAGGAGGAAAACTATTTCTGCAAATTGTTTTCGAGCGAAGCGTTTAATAAAAATGTAAGCTTGAGTGGAACTCCACTGCAGTCTCCGCTCACTTTATGCTCGCATTTGGCATAATATTATTTACATAATAAATACTTAGTTGTTGTTTGTTGTGCTGCGCGTAAATTTGCAGCCCGAGGCGCGACAGTGGAACTGCGAGACAACGCCCGAAAGTAGGCAACCCGCGGATGGGGTGGAAGGTGGCTGTTTGGAGGATGGGTGGAAAGGTGGATGTTGGTTGGGTGCCCCAGTCCTCACTGGGAGTTCGATGTGGGCGGCATGACTCCGTAATTCCAGGCCCATCTGCGTCATTTTATGCTCCAATAAAATCGCAATGTGGCCGCAAGCTTAAAGCTTGATTGGATCAGGAGGCAGACGTGGGACAGTGACCAGTCCACCATTGTTTCATTAGGACTCCCAGAAGAGTCGAGTGGAGTAAATACGCCAAAGAAGAAATACTCATTGACAACAGTCTGTGCTGCAGGAAGTTGAAACCACTGTTTATTATATGATTATTTCCTGCTATTCACCCTATAAACCATCCAAAAATCTAGAGGGCTTCAGAGCCTTCCTTAAATGTGAAAGTGAAACTGAGGATGGATTGATGGACATATTCCATACGGTCAGAACTGACTAGCACAAGACAGCCAGTCAGGTGCGAAGAACATAGGGACGTGCCCAAAGGAGTACAGGACAATCTGAAAAGTACTGCTGGAACAAGGTCAGATACATACAGTGTTGGAAAAAATAATAGAAACAAGAATCGCTCCTGCATGTAAAACAAAATTACTAATTATGTACGAAGTGTGTGGAAGTATGGATAAACCGTTAGCACATAAGCCACTCATAACGGTACTTTATTGTACTCTTCTTTTTGGCCTTCTAATGGCCAGGAGGATCCGTCCAGCGAGCGGCATCAGTTGCTCCTGTCCCGTGGATGCGGCAGGCCACAGCCTCCTTGTCCCTGTCCTCCACATGCAGGAGCAGCAACCCGCAAGGAGCGAGAAATTCCAAGCAGCAGCTTCAGCTGCAGTGTTACTTCGCATCTGTGAGCCTGAGTAATACTAACTTTGTTAATCCAAATTTACCTGGAGAAGCACTATGCGGGCCAGCAAGGTGACCGCAAAATTGGTGAACAGTCGGACTGAGACCAGGCCACAGTCCAGCAGCTGACCAACCAAAATGAGCAGGACTATGGCCACCACAAGGCCGGTGAAGCACTGGAGCTGGTCCTGCACAAAGAGGCCAACTGTTCCTCCCACTGGAACCACAGGCGCATCGCGCCCTCGAAGAATGTGGCCACCAGGCAGAGCCGGGCCGTCGGGTGACCTCCTTCGCCAAGTCCACCGCCTGTTCTAGAAAGTAAGTCCCCGCCTGCCGCAGGAGCTTGTCTTGAGATTCCGGATCCAAGCCGCAAGTCTACTTCAAGCTATGAGTACGACAGTCGTGGCACTGATAACAAACGGCCCACGCCAGGCTGAGTAATCGCTACGGTCTGGCTGTAGTCTGTGGCAGGAGTCGTCCTGTTCCGGGCACAGCTGTCGTTTGGGGCATTTCATTTCGTAATGCGTTGCTGCCTTATTGGCATACATATTTTATCATTATCAAAGAAAAAATGGCTTACTAGCATTGTGTTTAGGCGAGCATTTCTTAATATTTAATTTAAATTAATAATGCAGCATACTTTGAAGAAGTAGTTTTGTATTATAACCCACAGCATTGTCAACTGTGAGGGTTCCAAATAACTTTTCTCTACACAGGCACAACCATCAAAATTAAATGTAGTTTTATAGTTCTTCTTTCATTATTATGGCGCGAATATCATTCGAATATCAGAGATGGACAGCTCGGAAAATGAGAATTTCACACGAAATTATTCCATCAATTGCTGATTTGTTTTGCACCTTACAAAAAGAATATACAACTTGACCTAAATACAATTGAACAGATGCCCAGAGTAAATAAATTTGCATTTTCCATGATATATTGCAGTACGCTGCTGGAAAATTAATATTTTCTAAAATATCTCGCAATTTGTCAATTAACACACAAATGTGTGTCAATTATGGTAGGAGACAAACAAACATTTTTCGTTGTGTTATCTGCAAAACAACTTGACCCTTTGCATTGGCCTGAATATTAGTTTTTAATACTAAAAATGCTTTATTTGAAGATAGTACATGTATATCAGTACATTTTAGACTTTAACAAGATTTTATTGCGCTCGAAAAAGTGTGCAAAAGGTAGGAAGAAGCGATTTCGATTTTATTTAGCATAACTTAATTAACTTTTCCAACTAATCCAAGCAATCAGTTGAAGAATAAACTATTAATAAATAAACTATTAATGAATGTATGTATGTTTCTCAGGTTAAGTCGCAACTTGAAATTAAATAAATATTCCCATTCGATAAGAAGTCCATATAAATGCATATCGTAGATGCAAAGAGTATTTTATTAGTCTTAATTCCGAAAAACTGCCTATATAACTCAATTGACAGCTGCATTTCAGTCGTTTGTCAGCTTGTCAAAAGCCTGAAATAATTATTTGTCCAGCAAAAACTTCGATAATTCAATAAGGTCAACTGATGTGTCCATCATTCTTGACCTATTTTGCAGCGCTGGCAGCAACGGCCACTCCGATGGAGAACGCCTCCCTAATTGCCTCGCCTGCAAGGGGGACAACCACAATGGGATCGGCAGGATCTCCTGTCCTGATGCTGGCGGATGACCAACAGCAGCAGGAGGACGACACAACGGTAGTGGATTCCTGGAGCGACAGGCCCGACACTGCGACGCTGACAAAAGGCTTCTCGATTCCCACGTACTTGCCGCCCTTTCCGGAATTCATACCAGCCGATTTGCCGCACCTGCTGCGGAATGCCTCCTCTGGAGGCACTCCCCTTACCGAGGACAACGGCCCGTCCGGCAATCCGATGCCATCTAAGCCCAACGAGCAGTCCCGTCTCCACGCCTACGACAGCGAACAAAAGGCCCAGCAGCTGCGGCGCGAGAAGGAGCTGGCCAAGGAGCGGGAGCTCCTGCCCCGGCGCCAGCTCAGCCTGCCCCCGCTGAACGCCACCGTCCAAGCTGGCCAACATGCCTATTTGCCGTGCAAGGTGAGTGGGGGATAGGAAATGGGGATGGGTTCAGAGGACACACTGGTTTCTGAACTGCATAATTGTTAATCTTGTAATGAATGCATCACAAGCAATATACAAATAACATCCTTGAAATTCGCTCCTTGCAGCTCAACCAGCACTCCGGGAAGCCGCTCTCCTGGGTTCGGTTGCGGGATGAACATATCATTGCGGTGGATCACACAACCTTCATCAACGACGCTCGGTTCGGCTCGCTACTCCAGTCTTCCACCTCTGTGACACTTGCATCCGGAGGCGTCCTTTCCACCACCTCGACGCCCTCGGCTGTACTGGGAAACTCCTCTGCCCACGCCAGTCCTGGGGGTCAGGAGAGGGGCAATAGCAGCAGCCTCAGCTGGACGCTGCAAATCAAGTATGTAAGGCTGGAGGATGCCGGCTGGTACGAGTGCCAGCTGGCAACGGAGCCCAAAATGAGCGCCAAGGTGCAGCTGTTTGTGATAAGTAAGTGAAACGACTGCTAACCCACAAATTCTCATGCACCGCAAAAAATAGGAGTAGGTCGAAAAAGTTATACTTAAAGTAAAAGATATTTTAGGTCCTAAGAAATTATTTCTGTGTGGTTTTGCATCTGAATATTACATTTTCAGCAATTACGAAAGGTTGTTTCTCAACTCATTGTAAATTTTCTGAACATCTTACATTGAGTAGCCTATAAATTTCAACCGAAGCTCAATAGACAATTTGACATTTGGCTGAAAGAATTTCCTGCGCACCAATATCCTATTTCTATCCCCACCCACAGCACCCCGAACCGAGCTAATCGGGGATCGGCAACGCTTCGTGAAGGCCGGCAGCAGGGTGGAGCTGCACTGCATCGTACGTGGCACCCTGGAGGCCCCCAAGTACATATTCTGGTACCGCGGCGACCAACAAGTGACTGCCGAAAACGAGGCCAGCGGCACCCAGAGCGGATGGTACACGCAAATCGACCGGAATATCTTCGGCAGCACCGAGCACAATCGGAACACGGTGAGCGGATTGGGCAGATCCAGAATTCCTAAGCGGATTCCTCACGATATCGATTTTACAGATTGGTTCCCTGGTCATTCCTCTGGTGCGCAAGATCCACTCCGGCAACTACACGTGTGAGCCGGAAAACAGTGCGGCAGCTTCTATGCAATTGCACGTCCTCAGTGGTAGGTGACGCCAATTATTGCGGGTCTACTCTTACTATGGGTCCGGAAATGGTTTATGGAAGGGTTCAAAAAAAAATCTTATACAGGACATACATCTTCCCATACCAGTTACTCGTTCTTGGGTATACCTGGTTCGCAGATGCTATAAAGTATTTATTCGTAGTCAAATAACTAGGCGAGTCGATCTGGTCCTTCCGTTTGGCTGTCTAATACGAGGGAGAACGCTGTACTCGAGATCGTCGACTATCAGATACCGGTTACTCAGCTAGTGGGAGGTGGGCATATGCGAATAAGAAGTTCTAGGCCTTTTGCGACTGATCGGCGTTATAATAAATGAAAGAAAATATTCATAATCTAGACCATACTGCGATGCACACTTTTTAACAAGTTTAAAATATCCTTCTAAGCAACGAGTAACGGGTATTTCATTAATACAATCGCCATACTAGCTCGACTTATCATAAAGTAATTAAATATATCTATTTTCAGGGGAGTACTCCGCCTCCGCCATAAAGTCGACTGCTGCCGGGCCACATAGACTGGGCCACGGATACACCAGTCTACACCAGTGGCTAATCTTCCTTTTGGTGGCCCTAAACAAGACATGAATAATGCTGGGAGAAGTCCTGCCATGCAGAGCGCTGGATATATCATACGATCGGGTGTTTTGTCTAAGACATTAGTTTAATCTCTAGGTAAAATGCACTTACACTCAAGCGATTACATTGTTTATTCTGCTGATACTTCTTAAAGTCTAAGCCGAACTTTCCGAAAAAACAACTTTTTTATACAAATTCTAGACTTAACATGTTTCCTTTACTCTAGTAATAGGTCTACTTCACTAAGTATTATAATAAGCATTAAATTCCGAGCAACATTTATTTGTTATTTACATAAAAAATCCAGAAGCGTATTATTTTCATCTTGTTTACAGATTTAATTTCTTTGTAGGATTTCTCAATATTTATATATCAACCTATTTATTAAGGAATCCTATATGTCGTAAAAACCAATTGATCACATATAAAATTTTCATAAAAAAACACAGCTCTATTTACATATTAATTTTCCTAATTCACTTGTAAAAAGAACAAAACTTGAATAAATGTAAATTATTTTAGTACATATTATTTGAACTTTTTAGGATGTAAAGCAACTGATACTTAATAAAAAACTAATTGTTAAAAATTTGTTTTTTTTCATTTTATTTTTTTTTTTTGTTTCAGCTAAAAGACTTTTTATCATTTCTGCATAAGCTTAGTTTTACTGTTGACCTCGCAACATTTTGCATGGGCCTACTAATGATCATTTGCAGTCTTATAAAATGAGCCTCTAAGTTCTTGGCTTATTCTCTTACCCTTTCGAACTAAGCTTCCCAATCCTCATTTGTTTAAATGAGATTCTCACCCTACGAAGTTAAACTCTTGCGGAAAACGGTGTGTATATTTTGAAATGCAAATACGAGAACTTGTCATAACTTATAGGAAAGTGGAAGAGTGTGAAGGCGTTTACTAAGCCGCACGCAAATAAAAACCAAGAAAAGAGGAGCAATTGAGAAAAACGACCATTGTCTTCGTCATTGTTTCGCCTTGGCCATTGTTTTATGGCCTAGCCAACTATAATTTTTTGCGATATTTCTGATTGCCCGCGCACTTTACGCTGCTCATTTATCAAGCCGCCACTGACCAGAAAAGAGAGCCTCAGGAACCATGGCCAAGATGCGGCGAAAGTTTTATGGCCAAGTTTGAATCCTTTTGCCCAAGCTGGCCCACATTTCAAGCTCCCACACCTTGGTCTCCTGCCTCGCCCTTCGCCATCGGCCACTCAACAGACAATTTACAACTGGACAGATGGTGTGAGAAAGCCAGGAGGAGCTGTGGAGCTGTGGAGCTGTGAGGCTGGCAAAGGGATAGGCGGCACAGGAGACTGGGCTAATCACTTTTTGATTTATTCGCCGTGGCTGCCGCATCCTGAAACTTTTCCCCACAGTTCATATTTTTCTTTTCACTCTGTGCTGTCCCGCATTTTTCCTGCAGCTTTCCCTGTTGCTTCTGCGGTGTGGCCACTGCCAGCTGGGGGATATTGACAGCGGCGGATCGGGAGTCTGCGGGGGATTAGCTCTCGCGAATATTGAAAAATTCCGCGGTTGGCAATCCGAATGCCTTGCAGCAAACTGTCAACAATTTCTTAAAGTTCATTCCGCCCAGCCAACTGATTATGGCCCAATCCCCAGTCCCCACTGGTGGTGCTGTATCAAAGAGATTGGCGCATTTTAATAATTCACATGGCAAACTGCTGAAATATAAATTTCGCCCGCGCACGCGACGCCGAGGGGGTTTTCCTTCGGATGCGCTTTAAGGCCCACGCCTTTATATCGTCGATTCACCTTGCCGTGGGCACAGACTTCGGATTTCGGGTCCTGGCCCAGTGCTTCCTGTTGGAGCAAGTAGTTAAAGTTGGCCAGCTGACTTTTAAAAGTGGCCTAAAGCCTGGGTATCGCCGAAGTAAAATGTTTCTAACCATTGCTGAGGTAGTTATGTACTAGAAAAATACTCGATCCTAAGTCTAATGACTGAACCAGCGTAATTTAAAGTTTACACTAATAACTTATTAACTTTATTTTAATACTACAACTTACCGCATTGCTTTTCCTTCCTGCATTTTAGAGAGGAGTCACCTTTTAGCTATAGATAACGTAAAAGCTTACTGTTTCTTCAAATAGAATACTATGTATGACATTTCATGTAGTGCCTGCTAATACATACCCTGTGCAGTTTTAAGGAGCTTCTATTCAATGAATCCCGTTACCAGACACTAAGTAAGTTATATAAGATTTTCCTCAGTGCAGTCTCAAAATTTGAGCAAGTATTTTGAAAATCAAAGCAAAAGTTGCCAGTGAGGGCAGTTCAAACGAACTCGTTTTGTTTCAGTGGAAGCATAAATCGCAAAAGGCATTCTTCAACTTGTCCGCATTTTTTGCACCGCGCAAACTTTGATTTAACGTTTTCCGTGGCAAAGGCAAACAACTTGTCAGCCGCTTTACCGCCTTCTGCCAGCTTCCTGGAAAATATATTTAGGTAGGTCAATTTTTGAACCTGTTGATGGCCGGGAACAGCTGAGTAGGTGCGTAGTGCGCAGGACTGTTAAATTGAAATTTTCCTGGGCGCGAAACTAAAAGTGTTCCCATGAAACAGCTGGTTTTACAAATTGAGAGGAAATAAAAATACTAATAAACGGATTGTTTGAAGTTGGTTTTGGTTGCCAAAATGCTCTACAACATTTGTCCAAAATATATCCATCTTTTAAAAATATTTGCAAACACTACAACTTAATATTCAACAACAAAATACATTTGCGTTTAAAACTACTGGGTAACTCGGAGTGTTTGATTTTGATATAATTAACTTTTTATTTCTCATAAGTATGCACAATTGCGTTGCAGAATTTGTTTCGGATTTGATATACATATGTAATTGAATTATGTAACCCTAAATGCGCTCAACATAGAACTAAACGCAGTTCTTTTTATAGAATTTATTCGAACATCGATTGCTTTTATTGTTATACTTTTATATTTATTTAAAAAATATTATCGGTTTTTGTTTTAAATAAATCTCTTCTTAAAAATTAGAATTTAGTTTCGATTTGAAATACTTGGAATGCACAAAAATATTTTGTCACCTCTGTGGTCGGTTTTCGAATATATAATTTGTTATACCCTTGCAGTGCTTATTTCAGTACATTTAGTAAATATATTTTCTGTTGTAATTTTAAAAGGGTAAGCAAAGAAATTGTCCTGAGTTTTGGACATATCGGACTCCTACATCATAAATTCATCTGATTTTGTTGCAAGCGTATATACTCCTCGGCCTGCCGAAGATACTCTTTTGTTATAATTTTAAAGCCATTAGGGTATCGTGTAGTCAAATCCTATTTAATTTAAATTGGTTATTCTCTATGCGTATTCAAACCTTACTCGCTTCTCTGTTTGTCATTGTTGCATTCAAAAGGTGTTTAAAATGGTTGCAGTAATTAAAAATATATAAGTGTGCTCTAAATTTTTCGTTACTTGTTAGTTCTTGGTTGTAAATATAATTTTAATAATTGAATAATTGGACCATTTGTTTTACCGTTGTGGTGGCTTTAAGTTCTCTAATGGATACAGTATATATATATATAACGTTTCTTGTTCCGCACGGTTCCCAGGTAAGTTTATGAATATCTAAACTAACTTTGCTCATTTACACTGCCGATTAATCATTAATTTTATGCCGTAATCTGATGTAACAAATTGTTAATCGTAGGGTTAAGTTTAAAGTTACTTGTTTAAAACGCTTTACAAATGTGGCTCGCCTTGCTTTCGTTGCCCTGTCTAGGCTCGTTACAGTTTTGTATATATAAACATAGTATATATAGACTATAATGATATACACTGACATTTCTCAATAATTGAAATCAGTTAACATTTTGTGTATCGTAATTAACTCTGAAACGCGATAACTATGGATTGTTATTGCCTTGCTTAGCAAATTCGTTAGGTTTGTTTGTTTCTAAAGATTTCCGACATATGTAACATTACCTATATATCTATACGTGTGTTGTGTTATGTAGAGCTAACGTAACAACTTGGCCCCCAATATATTGAAGTGTAAGCTTTGTGGGTTCTGGTGTGTATATACATAGCATTAAGCAACGATCTCTTCTGCTTAGTGCACCGCGTCTATATCTCGTTGGGCTCGTGATATTTTCAGTTTGTCCTTCGGCGTGTTATCTTCCCCCGACTCCAAGGCAAACATCTTCATTTTCTCCTTGAACGATAGCTTTTCGGGCACCGCATCTCCAGCACGTTGCTGCTGTTGCTGCTGCTGTTTCTCCGCCAGTCGACGCGTACGAGGATCTCTGCGTAAGCGAATAAAATTTATAAGTGAAAGCTTTAGGACCTCCAAATTGTATGGCATCATACCTGTACACTTCTTGAGCTCCAATGACGCCTGGAGTGGATTGCACTGAGGTGTTCCAGAGGGCAGCATCTGGAGTGGCTGGCATTGATGGCAGCATGGAGGAATCGAGGTTGTGTTGCAGATACTACATGATAAAAAATATTGATTTAATTTATTTCAGAACTTACGCATGACAGCTTCTAAAGAACCAAGTTACTTACACTCGTATCTTCTCTGATGGTGTCCAAATCCTGATGCTCCATACCGTAATTTTCTATGATATATTGCTGCTGCAGCTGTTGTTGCTGGCTATTCCCGCTCACAAAATTATTCTCTTCATCATGGAAGCTCACCCGTTTGTTGTCCCTTTGCATCAACGGTGGCGGCGGAGGTGGTGTGCCCAATCCTCCGATTGTTCCCGTTCCCGTGGCCGAAACATAGGCAGCATTTAGTTCCATGGCGCTGAGTGGTGATCCTTGCATGGTATTGTTGTTCAAGCTGCCACTCAAGTTGTTGTTTTTATTGGTTTGGGTGCTCAGAAGCGATGCCTTTTTAATCTCCACGGCAGCTGCGGCCTGATTACTAGTGGCCGTTTTCAGTAGGCCCATGGACGAGGTTGCGTTTCCAGTACTGCCCCGTAGTTTCTGCTGTGACATGATTAAATAGGAGCTGTTCCTTTCTGGGGGAGGCGGTGGAGGCACAACAGCATCCAGAGTCTCGTTGTTGTTATCCTTATCGAGCATTGTGAGCTGATTAAGATCTTTTGCTAGATTGGGTATCGAATGCTCAGTGTGCAGATGTCGTTCGTCCGCAAAACTTGCGGATTTCTGTGACTTTGATGGCGACGAGGGTGCCCCACTGGGACCAGCCCCGGCTTCGGAATACCGATTATGCTTAAGTATGCTCTTCGGCTGCTGGCTGTTGCTGCTCAGCGGCTGAGTAGTTGGTGCTAGTGGC